GAGGGACGGTGATCTGAACTAAGGACCACACTCATTCAGACGTAATCTACCGGTACTGTATTTGCCATTTTAATGCCATTGTTTAACATTATTATTATCATCATTATTGTCTAATCTTCATCGATCTTGATTTGAATTTTGATTCTGGTATATCAAATACATATAATATATACATTAAAAAAAAACGAAAAACAACTACGTCGTAGCACGGTTAAGTAATAGTCAAAACACCCTGCCTAGCATTAATTAAACATTCTTGCCACAATTTTTTTAAAAAAAATACATAACAAAAATTTGTGCTGGTAGCTTTTGTTTTAAATTATTTTTCCTTCTTTCATAGTTATCACTGTCTTTTGTTTTTTGAATTTCATTAAAGTTTTCTGTGCCAGTGTATTTGAAAGCATGTTTAGTCTGAATTCAGTGTAGTCTGTATGTTATCTTCATTCACTGTCGCTCTATCCTGTGATTCAGTTTTAAAATGTTATGGTATGTTCTGTCTGATATGCCAGTATTTGTATATCTACCTGTTTCTATTTCAATTTATCATCAGATCAGTTATCATGATTTTCACTGTCTCACAATTGCTTCGACAAAATAAAAAAAAAAAATATCTTAGTTTAAAGGGCTGAGTCATTGTGCCATGTATATGCAAAATTTGTGTTGACATTCACACGCTCAACTAACAACTAAGTACATACATGTACCGGTATATCAAGTATGTGTGTGAGTTTTGATCTGGATGAGATGGACAACAGTGTTTATGGTGGTTAGAGGAACAAATCTAATCATATTTTACTTCCTATCTCTATTTTGAAAAACTCTGATCTATGCAACATTCAAAGTTGTTACTGTTGATGTATATTGATTGTATTGTGAAAAATTTTAACGATCTTGTTTATGATGGTGCAACGACCACTGCCTTTTAATATTTAAAACTATCAGTTGTCAAAGTTGGTGTATCTGAATTGAATTGCATTGCATTGCATTGTATTGTGAAAAATATTAACAATGATCTTGTATATATAGACGCCGTCTCGTATCTGCCGCATACATGGTAAGACGACCTCTGACCTTATAATATTTAAACCTATCAGTAATCAATGCAGTGTTTAATGTGAATGATGTGTTTGTTTCAGCCTGTAGTTGGGTGGCAAATAAAATAAGATGTCATAAAGAATCTTATGATAATGAAAACCAGCCAACTACTACCGCGTCTGTCGATAAAAGTAATGATTCCAAGTATCCGACTTCTAATGGATATTCAGGTAAGAAGTGTATTATTTGACCGTGAACGTGACTGACACTTTTGTCAGGGAAATGTCTTGGCTATTTGAAGTAGTCAAACTCTATTATTGTGAAATTAAGAACCTCACTTATTGTATACTATAGTAAATATTTTCGCTAATTCGGAGTTTCAATTCCAAATGGCTGCCAGAATGAGTTTTAACGCTATGGGATAAACATAACAAAGTCTTCAATTGAAACTACTGTGAAATACATGTACTTTATTTTAGCTGGAATTATTTTTTGCTGGAAAAACTTTTTGGGTGTTTTGTATTGCAATTTATTTTCACTGATTTTTGGCGAGTTGAATGTAAAATATAGAAAAAAACGGTATATTCGCTGGATTTTATTTTCACTGAATCAGCACCTCAAAAACAGCGAAAATTACATCCAAGCAAAAATAAAGTATTTTATACCCCCGGTAGTAGTTGGTATGAGATCTTTTTATGCGCAAATTATTTTTCTGATTGAACCTTTCACTTAGCAAACACAAAAATGTATAAAGAATTTGTTGTGCTTAGGTCATATATCATTGCGACTTTCGTACAATACTGTATAATATTGTTTTGAAAAACTATTTTGAACATAGCTCTAATACCGTGAAATACTTTATTTTAGCTGGAATTAATTTTTGCTGAAAGGACTTTTTTTGTGTTTTGTATTGAATTTATTGTCACTGTTTTTTGGCGAGTTGAATGTAAAGTATAGGAAAAAGGTAATATTTACTGGACTTTTTTTTCAATGAATTATGCTTCAGCGAAAATTAATTCCAAGCGAAAATAAAGTATTTTACAGTAAGTCCACAGGTCAATTTCGTAGTTCTGAAGTATAAAAATTTGTGAATAGTATTCCATGTCTTAGCTTGGAATCTTGCCCAATGAACACAAATTTCAAGTCCATGTGAAGGTTCTTTCTTACAAGATTGCACCTGATTGGATACCCAACCTTAAAACTGAACTGTCTGACCAATTAGAGAGCAGCTTGTTTGTTGACAGTTTTATTTTTTTTTGGGTATCAAATTCTGCCTTTGTTTATCCTTGGGGCAGAGCTACGTCACAAGACGTTCCACATTGCTAAGACACCACCACTGTAGCGTGTATTTCTATGGGCTCTGCGCAAGCTGCTGTGGAACAACACAAACACAACATTGAAGTAATCCTGAACAACCAAATTGATATATGTTGCATACGCAGGGGTAATCTTGTTACACTGTTCAGTAGAGTCTCAACAGATACCCCAAAGTATGTTTTTGGCTTTGTTTTCACCAAGATGGTTACCAGATGGTGAATATGCTTGGATGCCCCCCCCCCCCCCGAGAATATGCTTTGACTCGCAGCAAATCATGGTCATCTAGTGATCGTAATTTTTTTATTGGATTGAAAATGATCTTCGTCATCTGAGGGTTGCATAATTATAGCAAATGCTTCCCAATAAATGGAAATTATTTTATTTCCTGTGATTCTAATTTGACCAACCCATTATATGCCTAATGAGGTGTGAATAGAATTGCACTTAAATGCTAGAACATTATACCGGATCATGGATCATTATGCTTTTGACCATCGACACACCTCTGTCATTTACGTAAACGTACTAGCTGCTAATATAGGAAATGAGGGATGCATTTAAATTTGGATACAGATACTTATCTACATGTGTTAATTATTTATTTCAGTAACTCAAAGAACAAAGACATCAACAACCAGTAATGCCGAATGCAGCACCTATAATAATACAAATGGAACAAGAGGATGACATTAAAAGAAATCAACAGCAATTTGTCAGTCGGCGATCTCAACACAATAATGTTATTAAGATCTAGATTCCGAAAACTGAATTTGCTTTTGATTGTCAATCTCTGTTTTCATGTATATTCAATAGACATACTAATTATATATTCATGATCAAAATAAGTTTTTGTAAATAATATATATACATATATATATGTGTGACGGTCAACTAATTAGAATAAATATCGTATGTTTTACATAATACTTATGTGAGAACAGATTTGAACTAGGACAGAAAGAAAAAAGTGGCCAGTTTTGTTATTACTCCCAAAATGAAATTGCAAACAATTGGTTGGGGGTAATACCAGTACCAAAATTATCAAATTGTTGATGTATAATTTTTGTATGGCTTCAAGTATTGTATAAAGCACATGGTATTTAAAATAGTTGACTCACATGTGAGCTTGAGTAAAATTGACTTGTTTCTGAAACCAAACTTTTATACCGGTATATATTATTCAAAACTGATATGTAATAGTTAATGAAACCCCAAATTTCTAATACTATTCTAATACGGGTAATCATTACATTATTTCCACTCAAAGTTGCGACTTGTTTATCTTTGTAGCAATATTTTATGTACAATTGTAGATGAATATGTCATATGTGTGAGAAAGACACAAATTAAGTTGTGCTGATAATGCAAGTTGACCTTTTCACCACCAGTTCCCTCTTTTCATCTACAAATTCACAAAATAGTCCTGTTTATAGTCTGCATTTTCTTTGGAACAAAAATAGCCAAACATTTTTGAGTAAAAACTGAAAATTGATTAAAATTTTGTCTGTTGGCATCAAAATTATGGTTTATTTCCAAAAATATTGAAGAATAAAAGAAAAAAGGGCAGACAAATTTGGACGAGAAAGTCTGGTGGTGAAAAGGTTCTCTCATATTAATACTAGGGCTTTTGTTTCAATGCAATATTTACTTTATTAGTTACATAAGTGATCACATGACCAGTGTGTTTATGGTAAGAATGGGTCAAATTGAATAATTTATATCGCAATAAGGAACATTTTTGTTTATATAGGTTTCAGCTAAAGATGTGCTTCTAATAGAGTAAATATGGTTACTAGTATGTTGTATGATACTAAATGTATTTACATTTTTGTCTCAAAATAATGATAATTTTAAAATACAAATTATTTGTTTCCAAGATGATTATTCTCTGGTTGTGTTTTGCATTGAAATTGATGACAGTTTTGTTTCCAACCTACTAATGTTGTAGGAGAATAATATTTGATGTATATTCAGTGCATTACTTACCATAATTTGAATAAACAAAATCTGAATTGTAATAATAATAATAATAATAATGTATTCATTTGTTAACACATCCACCCCCACACAGTAACTGATTTCTTGTTTCAATGAAACTTGGTACATAGATGCTCTAGGACAATGCACAGACCTGATCAATTTTGGGTTAAAATTTGTGCATAATCATTACCTGATTTGCATAATTAGCAAATTTTCAGGTTACATACTGATATTACAAGTACCATGCTAATTATTCAATTTCAATGAAACTTGGTACATAGATGCTCTAGAACAATGCATAGACCTATCCAGTTTGGGTTTAAAATCAGATCATATTAATTACCTAATTTGCATAAATCATTTTTTGGTTCTAATCGCATTTCAATGAAACTTCATACATAGATCGTCTGTGACAATACTCAATGAATCTTGCTACATATATACTCTTACACTATGTGACAATCAAATTAGTTTTGGGTTTATATACATCCATAATAATTACCTAATTTGCGTATTAATTTACTTTTCAACTTTCCACATTTAGGATTAATCATCACATTATCATGAAACTTTTACATGTGCACCCTGAAACAATATAAAGACCCAAATCTATGCATACAGTAATAACTGCTTAATTTGAATAATAATTCATTTGAAAAACATGCATATTGATTATTGACTGAAAAACCACAGATGAAAAATCAAATGTATTTCTGTATGTATTATAAATTTTGACAATGTGAATCACATAGTTTTCAGACAGACAAATATTAGTTGGCAAGCTTCTCGTTTGAAAGACAAATCTTAAATTTATTATTTTTTTTTTTTATTTGTTATTTTCTGAGGATTGTGTTTGCAAGAAATAAAGACACCATAGGCACATGGGAAAACTACCTTTATCAGGGTTTCATTGTGGTACAAATCTGCACAGAGAAAAATTTGAAGAAGAATAAAAAAAAAACTATGTTTACAGGGGGGAAATTGTTGAAAAAAACCTAATATGTACAGTTTTACTACAAGGGTTATTTTCGTTCAACGTAATTGCAATATTTTTTTGTTCGTACAACGTAAATTGAAAAAATAAATTCCGTAATTCTGTAATCACAGGCTAGACGTACAAACGTAATCAATCAAATATTTTTTTCCTACACTGTAAAAATGTGTCATTTTTCTCGGTACGTACAAGAATTTTCTAGGTTTTTTTTCTTAATTTTCCGTAAAATGTAAAATAACCTTTATTTTCTCTGTAAACTGTAAACATTCAATTTTCACTGTAAACTGTAAAAACGTCTTTTTTCTTTGTAAATTGTAAAAAGCCCTTTTTATTTCCCGTAAAACTGTACCAGCTACCTCCTAACCCCCTCCTAGTCTATTAGGGGTTCTAATCATGATGACTCACAGAAAACTTTGACTGTCGACAGTTCTCAGGCCTAATTTATTTCTAAGTCTGATGCAATACCAATTTTTCCTAAATCGCGAAGGCATTTACAGGAAGAACCGGAAAACCAATGACTGGCTTTGTAATTTGATGTATTTCATCAGACCATGGTACGTCCATGATCAGACTGAGAAACAGGCAATTGTCGACAGTCTGGGAAAACTGGAATCTCTTAATTAGTGCGCCACCTCAGTCGTCAATCCGTGTTTGAAGTTTCTAAGGTCGAAGGGCAAATCAAGTCACATGACAGATCTGGCGCGAAAACACCACGTCTTCAACAATAAGACCTTACTAGTTTTACGGGATTTGCAGTCTGATCGAAACGGTGAAAATCCTCCTAATTTAAGGCATGGATGTCGCCGATCAACGTACCGGTACTACACAAGTTAAGGACGATCTGGCTGAAAGATGTCAGAAATTGTTTCAAGACTTTCTCGAGGAGTAAGTTATTAATTTTACTGTTAAATTCCCATGGAAACTGAAAACCCCAGCGTGTTTGGGCTTGTGGAACTTTAAATATGTCCATGCTTTTATGATCGGTCTATACTACTTTCAAAAATTTTAAACGTTTAGAGAGTGGGAAATCGCAGCTCGGAACTATGCTCCGTTTACAGAGACTGTTTATGCGTTTTCTTGGAGATTTTTTTTTTAATTCGATTCACATAAACATTTATATTGTATATGTTTGAGGTCACTGAAATATGGAGATTTGAGTCAAGGTCAACTGTCAACACTTTATTCGTTACACCAATTTATGATGCTGTCGAGGCTGTTTGAAATAATATTGAATTTAGGCTGAAGTTTGTTTGTTTTTTGACCAACAACAACGAAAAACAATGTAATTTTTGTCATAACATAATAACAAATGATATACATGATTTTTTTGAATGAATTGTTTTTGGTAAATCAAAGCTGTCTACTATCGATACTCTACCATGGTTTCTATTTTGATGAGACCATGGAGGTAGAAAA